GTAGAAACCGATGCATGCAAGGATATGTCCTCAATTTTGACGCTGTTGAAACGGTGGGCCGAGGAGACAATCACACATCTAAGCAGATTAAAGAAAGCTGGATATCGACCGACAGTTCTGCAAACCGCCACAAATTTGCCTAGTGCCTATCGCGTTTTGTGTACCTTCTTATTAGGGAGAATCACTCCGTGTAACAATCGGGGCCGCTAACTGTCTCTGCGGGCACGGTGTAAACAAGGCAGGGTGAAATGCTGGTCGACGTGACACAGCTGAGGTCAACACGCACGGGAGGTTAACCAAACGCGCCGATGTGGCGGGAGACGAGGCATTACGGGTGGGCAGCGGGAAGGACGTCTACTACGACACATTTGGCAGTGAAGTGCGGCTCACACACAGGGGGTCAGCCGGTACAGCCGGGTATTCAAACGAATAAGCGCGAGAACCGAAAGTTTATGTGTCTGATGATGAGCCGACGAAACTACCACACAAAACGTCTGACATCAAATAAACCCCCTCCAGTGAACGCCTTTGCTTCTTCTGATTAACAGCATTCATCAGTGCATCCTCATTGGTTTGTATTTTGAACATTTTTAAGAGTTTGACAGCGCACTGACCACAGTCTTTTACTTTATGGCTATCATTTTTATATGAAATTTCTCCAACTTGATCATGGAAGAACGAAACTTATTGACCACCAGTGCTAGCGTAAATCTCCTTTCCGGATAAATGTGCTGGAACAATCGACCATACTTGTAAGCCCTCCAACTCGCCTTTGAATTCTTTCATGAAAATGTCGCAACTCATTAGACGATATGTTTCAGGAATTACTAAAATGAGTTTATTTTTCTCTGTTCATCCAGTTCTAGCCGATTTCGCCCCCATATAAATCTGCTACACTTCCTAAAGCGTCGATATTGCAACTACCTCTATTCTCGCCCCTTTTCCAGGTGATTGCTGCCACCGGGGAGCACAAGGCTTCTAGCGCTCTGAAAGAGGCCGCCAAAGTGATTGCCTCCTCCCCAATAGCCCTCCAGCTTCGCTACCTTCAGACAATGTGTGCCATCTCCGCCGAAAAGAACTCCACCATAATCTTTCCCCTGCCCATTGATATCCTTCAGACTGGATACGCGAGCGGCACTCTGCTCGAAAACCCTAAGCACGCGCCGAACGATATGAAGCATGCCATTGTGAAGGGCTGGCTGCCCAGCATCCCCGACTACTCCCCGAGAGACAAGAGCCCCTCACAGTCCCCTGAGCCCAGAAA